AGAATCGTGCCTGCAACAGGGAAACTATTAGTCATTTCAAATTTAAACTACTCTTTGCAGTGATGAAGAACAGTGGCACGAAGCCGTCACCCCCACAAAAGCAAGAGAGGAGAGCACGATTTGAGAGTACACATGAGGAAGACAAAAGCAAGAAGTACAATCAGAAAATTCACAGCTCCTCCAGAAGACTGCAGAAGTGAAGGAGCATTGGGGAAAGGAGAGATTTCTCACATCTTCCTCTGAATGCTGAGTAGAGCAAGTCTGTTAGTCTTAAATAGTAAAAGCTATTTAAAAAGGACGTAAATCCTAAAAAAAGGATGTAAAAAGGAACTACCAGAATGGGACAAGGATTTACATCCTCTTCAAAGCACAGCAGTTGTGATGCCAAGGCTCCCTGCCAGGTATCATCGCAGTACTTTCTGTGATCGTGCAAACCATGCCCCCCCTGCTCTTACATACTTACCTCTGACTAGTCATTTTAGCCTTCTATCTTGTAAACTTCTGCTAATCCTAAGCCTTGACCATGATGGAGAACATACCAACATGCTCCTCAAAACCAAGTATCTCTATTTCAACACCAAAAATAACTAAAGACAATAAATAACCAGCTTTGCTTCTTTTCAAAAGGCTTATTTTTTCACACTTCTTTCTTCCATTAATGGTGTCTCCCAGCCTCTCAGCACAGGTCTGGTGGGAGCAATGCAGCCTGAAGACAGCCATCCCTCAGGCTCCTTCCAGGCGAGCACACTTATCTGAGCAGCACAGGACCATACCTGTGAGAGCAGATAGGATGGCTCTGCACTCAGCCTAGCTCATTCTGGCTTTTATTAAGCACTAGATCATGAATTGTTGAACTGTGCACTGTTGTGTAACAAAGCCACAAGCAAGTAACACCCCTCTGATCAGCATGACCAGCCTCACGCCGCTTGAGATGTGACAAGGTATTACAGAATAGGAGTAAGTGACCAAAAAATAAAGATCGTGATTTATTCAACAAACAGTACAGAGATACATCAGTAACAGGCACTGCTGGGAATGCTCAAGGTAAAGGTGATGAAAAGCAGGTGTGAGTTTGGACTCACCAGCTCCCATCTCTCACCATGCCAGAGAGGCTTCCATCCAACCCACAGGCATCCAGCATCAGAATGACAGGGATGGAAAAGCCACAGAAACCCATCTCTATGCAGCTCCTTACAGGAATAGTAGGGCACTTGTGTTTCCTCAATGCTAAATACCTTTGGTATAAACAAATGTAAAAGACAATTGGTATTACAAAGAAGTTGCACTCCTGCCTCCACCATGCTCTGAACTCACTATGCAAGTTTATCCTCCTGCCCACTGTGCTCATTTCTGCATTTCATGTCTTTTTATCCTTTGTTTCCCTTCCTCCTCCCCTTCAACCTCCTTTTCCATTTCTGTCCTCTCTCCATCTTTTCCATACTCACTCTATCTCCTATTGTGACCAGCTTTCATAAAAAGGGAAAAAGAAATAAAGTAATACTCAAGTTACTGCATTCCACGTGCCCATTAGAAGTCAGTGAGGGTTGAGGCCTTTCTCCCTAAATAGGTCACTATTTGCTTTCATAAAATCGGGAACCCTCATTTTGATTAAAACCTTTGGAGGATTCAGCACATTCCCAAAAGCTTGGTGAAAAGTTATGAGAAAGTAGGGTTTGAATTCTGGAATGCAAACATGGAGACTTGACTCCTTTTATCATAATAATGCTTAATCCTTCGAGATAGTACACATGCTTCTTCAACCAGCCAGAGCAAGGACTGGACCTTCAGATAAACTTTTGCTCTCATGTCAAGAGCAACCAAGTTTCAACGTATTCTAGGGTATCAAAACAACATAGCTTGTGACATTTAACACAATCATATAACTATATATATACATTTACACAACATAAGACTGTTCATATTTATGCTCTGACCTACTTAAGCAAATTGTTTTTCCCCAGTTGCACAATTAGGAACCGGAGCAGAAAAATCAGACTTTATGAAGTTAATAAATCAATTCAGTGTCATTACAAATTATCAATGTTATTACTTCAGAGCCTGCAGTCACCTGACTATGACTTTCTATGGGGCATACGTAAAGGTTTTTAATAATTTTGTTTCCCAACACTTATTATCAGTTCTACTGCTTTTAATCAGCTCAAACTAACATCACATTATACACCGAAACTACTGGTTTGTTAACAAAAAACTAGTCGCAACAGCTATTAAAGCAAAGCTGGTTATTTTCTCCTTGGCTCTTCCTAACTTTCTCATACCCCTGAACACATTAAGTGATTTTATGTTCCCTTTTAGAGCAGCAGACAAAAAAAACCAACCCAGGAATATACTTCATTTGATCAAATACATAGTTTGCATCAAGTAACTCTGGCTGCATTTTAAGTGTTTTCAACTGGAGAGGTCCCAGCCAAAGCCATCTCCCCACCCAATTTTCAAAGAAAGTGAGCAACTTAAATACCACATGCTGCTCCCATACCTAGAAATGAGCTCAGACCCCATGTTCGCCATGTTCAAGTGTAGCCAGGTTACAAACATGTTAAATTACCAAGTGCTCAAATTAACCATCATTCAAAAGGACTGACGCTACTTATCCTCCCACAGCAACACTATGCAGTCTCCTCTCAAGGAGAAGCAAGTAGGGCTGAATGAGAGATACTAATGCCAACAAAAAACATCTTAAAGGATGCAAAACCCTAAAAAACATATAACTGGAACCTTTGCAAGTCAAAGTTGAAACAAATTCAGTACCACCAAAGATCTGGTGTACAGTTTATCATCATTCTACTTCCAAACTGGAACTGAGACAAAATATTTCCAGTGAAAGCATTTCCCTTTTTTGCAAGTAATGCTTTGAAAGGATTCAGCAGAACCCTTTCCTAAAATTCCATGAAGTAAAATATGGCCAAAACTAAATGTTTTAAGAACACCACATCCAAAATGTTTTAGAAAGCTGCATAAGGTCCACAGAACTTCTACCCCATAAATGGAGAGTGAAGACAATGTTAAAGAGATGGATAAGAATAGCCCCAGCTCCTAGATTCTTTCTTTCTTTCCTTAGAAGTCACTACCAAAATGCAGCAAACTTAGTTTTGAGGTGCTAGTGTAACGTTTCTCTTCCTATCACAGGCTGATTCAGGCATAAAGTTGATAAAGGAAAAGCATTCGCTAGGCATTAGAAGTCAACTTGAGCACCACAGCACCATGTCCATTCTAAGAGCAGGCAATTCCATGCTCCCAAGTAGTTGTTGTGTATTAACTACAAACCAAGAGCCAGGGAATATTGTTTTGCATAGATTTCAGACAGCAACTTAACACACAACTCCTACCTTTAGAGTCTACACATGCTACCTTAAAAGAAGGTCTGTTCTCATTGCCAGCCAAGATACTGCATTTTTCCTTCTGATTACTTGACAGTTTTATCCAAGCTGCCAGTGACCATTAGCAATGGGGATGCTGAGCTCTCATAAACCAGGTTTTTTGTTCTCCTGAAATACTACCTGAAGCAGATAGTGAGGATATCATGAAAACCAGGAGCTGTAGTTATTCAAAGGTCACACAAAATTTTATTAGAGCTGTAACTGGGATTCTCCTGCTCCAGACGACTCATAGCTTCTGTTGTAATGAATTCAGACGTGGGACACGTTGATCTTTCAAAGTGTTACATGAATGAGTAGAAGCAGGCAGAAATACATGCAGTTTGCTCTGGAAAATAACTTGGTTAATTAAATTCACACACTTTATGACTCTGTGTCCATGTGCAGTGTCTTGTGTGTATAAAGGCATCCTCTTGGACCTTCAAAATGCTTTGTGTTGGTTGCCAAATGCAGGATGCCCGCTGAGCCATAAGCACCTAGGGGCACAACATAAACAGCTGAACAAAACGTTTATGCCAGTAACTGAGGATTTGCCAAGCCTGTGAGAAACGAACACAGGAGGCTTCTGCTGAAGTGGAACTTACTTCAAAGGAATGAGGAGTATTTAAAGAAACCTAAGAAAATACTGGAACTACACAGGAAATTTTTTTATAGCAGGAATATGTTACAAAACTTACATGCCAAGGTGTCAGCTGACAGGAGAGACTGCAATGCAGCCAAACCTTCACAACTATTCCCCTAAGAACCATTGATTCCTTTTCACATTAAACTACATACCTGAAAGATCTGCTGCATAACAGTAGCTTGCAAGAGACTTGAAACAGTGGGAACTATAAGGAGATACAGCAGAGTGTACCCGAATAGTTTGTAAATGCCTAACTTTGGAAATACAGTAAGTGTTTGATTATTTTGGTCCTGGTTTCAAGCAGCTCATGATAATGTTGCAAGACAAGCTACAAAAACAAGCCTCAGCAGAATGTGAATTTGCCCTCTAATTCAGGCTTCACTAACTCTACAGCTGGAATAAATTAATCTTTTGGATCACACGAATTACTATTAAATCAATGCACTGCAGATTGCACTATTTGTATAGAACTTAGCCATGTAATTTAACCAGTGAGACAAAGGTTCAAAGGCAGACTAAATACGGTGCTGGAATTAGAGCCAAATGGAATTGGTATTTTTGTCCCAGAAAAGACATACTAAAGACAGCGCTTTTAGGACTGACAGAAACGATTCCAAAGCTCGGAGTTCTCATTGGTAATGTCATGTCTGCTAGGTCTGACCGGCTGTTTTCAAGACAGACCTCTGTCAGTAGCATAGGTATAAAACACAGATACCATGACTTCAGATGAAGTAGATCATCTCTTAGTGTCTTTCCACCGCTTAAATCACAAGTGACTGCAGAGATGGTTGAGTAACAGTGAAGTTGAGAGCTGTTACTTAAATAAAACAGCCTCACCCAACCTTCCCATCCCCACATAGGCAGCCTCCTTCTTGTTCTGGAACAAACGTGTGATTAGGGAGCTGATTTGGTTAAAAACATCTCTCCTTTTTGCCAGTTTAACTTAGACCCAGCTTGTTTCTCTGCTCTGTTTCACCGTGCAGGAACATCAGCTCGGTAAGAGAGGAAGAGGCAAAAGGGGCAGTGAAAAAGGGCAAGGATGATGACTGCTTACATCTGCACCCCTCGAGAAGAACTGCAGCACAGCCTGAGCAACAAGGAACAGCAGTGAGATTCAAGAAAAACAATTACTTTTATTAGACCAGTCTATATAGCTATAAAAAGCAGAGGAGCTTTCAGAGGCAGCTCTGCTTTAGCAGATGAGGCAAAGCACAAACCAGAACAAAACTGTCATGTAAACATAACTGTGCTAACCTTGAACAAGGAAAGCACTCAGCATTTAGGGAGCAGTGTGTGCATGACAAGCCAGATGACCAGTCACTGGTCCCTTTGAAAGGGGGATAAACTGCAGATAGTGACAGAATGATGCAGTAATACAGAGCCAGTGTATCTATGTGAGGCCCCAATTTTTAGCATGCAGCAGACGTGCCTTAGTTACTCTCAGACAGCAAAACAACAGACAAAGCATTTTCTGAGCAAGTATATTGGTTACCACATGCTGTTACTAACCATACAATTAGGCAACCATTAAACGCAAAGATACTAGCTCTAGTATAGAAAATCAGTGGTGGATACAGCATCATCTTTACAAACTTCCCCTGGGCTTATATGCTTCCAGTGGTATCTACCATTGGCCAGCCCTGGGAGACAGCTCACAGGGCTAGGTGGATCCCCATCTGGGACATCAGTTCTTGCTCTGCCTCTTACCAAACACAGGTTCACACAGATACAGAGATGCTGTTTACAACAAAGTAATTTTGCTTCCAAAAAATGCACTTTTTATATTTGACTGACAAGCTTAGGGTTATGCTTTCATTACAAGGGAACCAACCTAACTCAAACAAACCACACCACACTGCCACATTTGAAACTCACTACAGTTTCATAAACTATAACTAGCAATGTCACTGAAAAGGGTGCTTTCATGTTGCCTACTTGTTTTCTGTTTCATGCTTCATCATGTCTTTTGCCATCTCAAGCATTCATATAGTCATAAATTGGGTCAGAGTTAATCTCTTAGAAACAACACACCCTCCAGTCGATATTACTGCATCCTGTTGAACTAGGGATCCTCCTGGTAGCAGACAGCCTCAAAGACCAGGAAGAAGCAGTTAGGGGTATCAGAGGACTACTAGGCACACAGCCAGCTGTATTTGTGGCATCTGACAACCAGCTGGCACATGGCCCATCAGATGCAAAGGTAGCAATCTCACATGGCATCTACACTGACTACTTGGCGATTCAGCAAAGAAAAGAGTAGTCCATGGGATCCATGGTAGTAACAGTAGTGTATGGATGTAACAGTAGGATGGATGCTCTGGAGTGTAAACACGGGTCACTGGGGAGAAGACTGACATTCAGGATTCTCTTGGTGTTATTTTCTCCAATGTTGCCAGTTCCACATGCAAGAGGGAGGCTGAGATCGGAAGTCACTGATGCAGAGGGAAAGGATTTAGGCATGATGGGGACAGGAAGAACTTGTTAGGCATGCACATTAATCATGCCAGAGTCAAGCAGACGGCATGCTATTAAGTTTTGGAACCTGCAAACACTTTACACAACTGCTAAAAATTTCGTAACACATGGGAAGCCCAAATGCTTGGCCTCACCTGACTCCTCAAAGGAACAGGCATCTCCAAGGCTTGGTGGAAGGATGACAAATTAATACACTACAAAACTACCAGCTTACTCAGCAATTCCAAGAGGAATGGCAAACAACAGTCAGGTGGGGAACGGCCCTGTATGTGAAGGACATATAAATGGCATAAAGTATTACAGAAGAGAAACCCAACGAACTTCTTATAGTAGTTCACCCTGCATGACTGAACAGGGAAGCTGAGGAGGGCATCAGAGAGAGGTCAGCTTTTAAAGGCAGAACGCTTGCCTAATGAGAAGAGCTTGTAAAACACATGGCTGATCAAAAGTAAACAGTAAATCAATAACTACAAATGCTTTGGTAGCACCTTGCAAAGTCACCGAACTACATCAAAAGCAGGAAACCAAACAGAAAAACCAGTGGGATCTCTTGCAGACCAAGGTGAAGAAGGGATACAGGGATGACAGCACCAGTGCAGAGGAGTTCACTGAACATCCTGTTCCCAGTCCTTACTGGTTAAGCAACTGGGGAGACTTTCAGACCTACCTTCACAATATATAGGTCAGACGGACTGGGTCAACTTGAAGTACAGAGGCTTTAGGCTGAACAGGGAAGCTAGATATAGTTCACCCAGTGCAGGCATTTCCAGGACAGTTCCAAACCTCAAACAGAACTGCTGGGCCACAGGTCACCAGTCTAAGTCCAGTGCACACAAAGACCCTAACAGGGCTGGCACAACCAAAAAGCAGATATGATTTCCACCCCTTCATAGTAACCCTGGATCAGATCACTGCACACAGCACAGTCTGCTGGAAAGAGTACCCACAGCTTCTGCAAAAGGAAATCCTACCAAGGGCACAACTCTTCTCCCAGGTGGTGCCAGCTTACATACCCCTCTGAATTTGGGGACTAAACTGCTGGATCCACTGAACACCTGGGTCAAACACCGGATGATCTTATGGAAGGGATCAATCGGGATTATTTTGGAAAGAACTTGTAAATGGAAAGTTCAGGCACCCAAAAGGGCTCAAGACTGCGTGACAACCTGCACATTCTCTGCTACATCCTGCAGGCATCTGCTAAACTTCACCATCTGAATACCACGATGCAAAGGTCTGCTGCACACCGCAATGTTTACAACTGTGTGCTTAAAAGCACCATGACACATCCAGATGAACTCAACAGGAGGAAAAAAGTTCCCATGTCCTTGTTTAGCCTTATATTCCAGCCTGTAAGCTTTGCTCTGATCACTGGGGAGTTGGATGTAGGGCAAACAGGCAATAGTGCTAACAGCAGGGAAGCAAAAGGAAGTTTGTCATACGTGATTGCTTTTTCTCCCATAGCTTCTGCAGTACTCACCAGCACCAACCTACCTGCTGATGGTGCCAGAAGCTGGAAAAGTCACACAGGTGAGTCCACACACACACAGATCAAACAATTGGGTTGCAACTCACTGTTATCTTTAGCACCGCTGGAGACAACAGCAGGCTAATGGTCTCAGCCAGGAGAGCAGGCACTTTCTCAGAACACAAAACAAATCCAGGTTAAAGCAATTTAAGCTGCAGTTCTTGGCAGCCTAAAATTAATAATGCCTGCCCAACCTGCATGGAAGAGCCGGGCCCTTAAGCCAGCTCTGGCATTAACGTGCTAAAAGACTCAGCAAAAAAAAAAGTCTTACAACTCAGCAAAAAAAATAACCTGACAAAAAGCAGCGGAGTATCTGCTGCTGACTTATCAAGCAGAAACAGCACAGCAAGCATCCACTGATCAATGCCAGCAGTGCAAGCGAGGGTGTGGGGCATGGAAATCAGGACCGTTTTTTTGCCATGGACATGTAGTCTCATCCAAAAGTTGCATTTAACTCACTTTAGTTCCCCAAACCAGCAGGCTGCAGTCACACCATTAATTATGCCTGCAATAGGTTTGGTATGTGAGTGATTGTGAAACCACAGCCTAGTTCTATATCATTCAAGTGGTTCACAAGATACAAATACACTGCATAAAGTAGGCAGCTATTAGACACTGACAGTACTAAAGGCAAACAAATCCTGGAAGACCTAGAAGTAACCTCAAGCAAAGAGACTGCAGTGTTTCCACAACAAAGCTTAAACATTTCTTTCTATAATTAAATATCCTCTCAAACACTACATGAGATACAAACAGTCTCTCATAACTACTTACAGAACACCTTCAGTAAGATCCCTTCAGATGGCAACACTGAATTTCAAAACCCATCTCATCAGCCTGGAAACACTGGAAAATAACCACTGTGCCTTTTCATTTTAATGCATTAAAACCTGTGTGTTCACGTTTTGGTTTGGTTTTCTTCACCAGACACCATCTGATGAAAGCAAAGAGCTAATGGCATCTTCAAACTCACTTTGAAACCTACAGAACATTTCTGAAGCTGACAGGAAATTACAACTACATTGTGCACCAGCAGGATAAATATATATATATATACATATATATGCTTCAAAAAGCAGTACCAGGAGTTCTCTAAGAATACTGTATGCTACAACTCTGTCACAAAAATATATAGTATAAAATTGCTGGTTTTGTTAAAGATAGTTATTTGGTTAACTACCAAAAAGCCCCCAATTACTCAGTATCCATGAGTGGATCCAACACAACCATAATTCAACCTTTATTCTGGGAATTATCTGCAATAAAACAGCTGTGGAGCACATCCCTGACCTCGAGGGCAATATTATTTTGTTGTTACTAAATCTGTACATTGGTTAGTCAATGAAGTTTCTAAAGGCCATGCCACTGAAGAGGTATCTTTGTTCCAGAAGACTAAAGATTCAACCATCCCACTGCCTAGTTATTTTTAATATTAACACATTTATAATGGCAGATGGCTTTTAAAGGACTATGAAAAAGACTACAAATTCCTTGCAAACAACAGAAAGGTCTAAGTTGTTCCTTTCTGGATTTCTCAATGCAATGCTCTGAGAGGTGCCAGGCCTCTCATTTTCACCTCTTCAAGGCAGAGGAATTCAATAATCGTCCTACTCATTGACCAGACTCCAGGTTGCAACTCCTGTACACCAGACCTGACAGCTTGAGGTTGGCTGGAGGTTGTTTTTCTTTCAGTAACCTACTGAAAGCTGAAGCATGGATTTACATACCTGACTGTGCTCAGGTACAGGAAGCGGTACAGCACCCACCCCATCAACAGCACACAGCTCTGTGCCAGACCATACACACGAAGAGGAGGTGGCATGTGCCACCTTAGCGGTTTACCTCATGGTAAGAGGCCAAACTCTTCTTTAACCATCATTTCCAGCTGTACCTCCTGAGAGGCTGCCACTCCCTCAACTGCATTCAAGCCCAAAACACAGGTAACAGTGGTCATCCTTGAGCTGATGGGGGAAACCTCAGCTGAGGTGAGGGCAAACAGGACAACCACTATTTCAAAACACTGATAACCAATAACCATTATGAGCTGTGGGAGCAATAGTCACCTACTAGTTCACTTTACTGTGAACCCTACCAAACCCCAGCTTTGCTTAAGAAGTTGTACGCATCCCACAGGTTCAAACCCTATCAATCTGAAGTCTCACATCTCAAAGTAAACGTGGAAGCCCCAGCTTCCCCTGATACCTCAGGGTTAGCCTGGCATTTTCAGCCCCCCCGTTACTCCCTTTTACAGAAGCTGTGCTTCTAAACTGCCCCATTTCTTTGCTGGCATGAATGGCTGTGCAAATCAAAATCCATCTTGTTAGCTGGCTGAAGGCACGTAGCAAAGTCTCCGGTAGCACTAGTTCAAAAACAATTACTGCCTAACAAATACTTTGTTTGCCAACTGAACTGCAGGTTCCTTTGATTCTGGCACCCCTTTTTATTAACAGCAAAGATCCTGTGTTCAGAAAAGCGATATCCCCATTTCCTGTTCAATATGAACCGTTACTGAGACATGGTTCAGCTCCAGTTCAGTGAAAACTTATGCACGTAACAGTCTGCAACTTCATCACCTCCACAGAGCTCTGGTACTGACCGCTGTTTGCCTTTGCTCATCTCTACCTTGACCAAGACATAAATCTTACTCCGGGCAACAGCAGGGTGGAAAGAACAGTTTCTCTGCAAAGCAAACCAGTTTATTAGAAAACAAACCCCACTTACTAAGTAATTCTGCTGGAGTGAGACAGGTCAGAGAGCCAACAGTCACCTCTGAACTCACACCAGAACAAATCATCTGCTTCCAAAGAAGTTATTCCACTTTCTATCAGAAGCTGCCTCCACAGAGTTCACCTATCAGTCTTTAGAGGTATTAACCCTCATCTATCACCACTCTTCTCCAGTAATAATCTTTCCTTTAAAGACAACAAAAAAGCCCCAGTGTCACAGTGTAAAAGACCTATCCCCATATTTAGGTACAGAAGCCATTAGTGACAGCACTAAACTTCTGTGTCAGAAGTATCTGTGGAGCCTTACTACCTACCAAGAGGACAACAACAATTTACCAATGGCTGCAAGTGTCAAACAAAGACGAATTTTTAAGCTAGAAATAAACGGTTGATAATAGGACACAGAGAAGATCTGCTTTGTGACAACAGCCTGGTAACTGGGGATTTTCAATGGAAAAACTCATGTTTTCATTCCTGAAAACTTCATCATCAGTTTCCTCAATTTAGAATATATTACCAGAGCAGAAGTCACTAAGGGACCAGGATTATTGCCATCCATCAGTCCCATCCACAGGGGGACCATGAGAAGAAAAAAACCCACACTGATGCCTAAATCCCAAATCAACTCAAACTCAGAGAGAATGAGGGACCTTTTAAACTATCAAATCTAAGCTCACTACTAATGGCAATGCACCATCTACTTCTTATCATAGAGTGATGAATATCTGTCTAAACTGTTTGGATTCTTGCCCCCACTAATCCTATTAAAGGTTACTATAAAGCCATACTGCTCCAGCAAGTAGAAACCTTATACTCTAAACCTAAAACCTATTCACTGACATTTTATATCCTTTTGTTCTTCTGGCAGTACCGGGATCTGATTTAAACTGTTAATTTCTGTACCTTTTCTATTTGTACTGATAACTCCTCTTTGAAATAGCCACCTGCCCTTTACATATCTATAGCATAACAAAGGATAAGAAACAGATGGCGGTCAATACTGGTAAAACCACTAAGGAGAGAAACAAACTCCTGACTTAGAGAATCAGGTTTTATTTACTCCTTAAGTACATGAAGCTGCCCTATATAATATTAGTTTTCATCCCATTTCTAACAGTTTAGCCCCTAACATATTGCACTCATGCCTGTCCAGCATTCTGACCCTCCTCCCAACATTGTCTCATTCAAATGTCATTAAAACCTACCCACTGCTGGTGGGGTGGGGTGGGTGGGGTGTCAGGCAGAATTACTGATAAAAGACATCACTTCTGGCTCAAGCCATCCCAAACTGCAAGTTGCTGAGGACTAGAAAAATATACAGGGAAATACCATTATATGATCACTGCTTGTACCTTCCCTGCCACCCACCTTCTCTTTCTGCTCATCTCAATTCCCCAACACTCAGTAAAACAAGGAATCTGGCTCTAAGAGGGCAGTAAATGGGTGACCATACACCCTCCTCCCAGTTCTGAAGTGTTCATACAAGAATGGTGTTCATGTAACCAGGACAAACAGGATGGCTAGAGCAGAAACAATTATACAATGTGATTTTGGAAGGTCTTGTCTTCGACCTGTGCTAGCAGACTTAAAGCTGTCTAAACTATTCCCAGAGAAAGGATTCAGTGAACGGTAGCCTAGAAATACAGAGGATACCGTGACTAAGAGCACCCAAACAGAGAAAACGATTCCCCCCCTAAAATAAATTCATTGAAAACTGTGACTTATTTGAGAAGCAACAACAGCCTTTGAAGGAGTCGAGCTGACATGAACAAACCATGATTCATTTCAGATATAATGGATAACAGTTAAAAAAATAAGTGTATGCTTCCAAGTTGCCAATTTAGGCAAAACCACCCTGAGCCGAGTCTGGAGAGCTTCCAGTCAAGGGAAAGAACAATCACAACAATAGCCAAGTTCTCTGCTACTAACTAAAAGTGGGTTGAGGCACCTTGTTTTTTGATTAAGAACAGAAGGTAAAGAGATTAAGGCTCTCATTCAGGTTTGTCCACAATCACCACATGGTCAGGAACAAAAGGCAAGTCTTCCAAACCTCACTGCAGTCATTTATCCAGCAAGTCACACTTGCCTCCTCTAAATAACTTGCATACAGCAAAGTTGGACAGAACCTGCAACGCCATAGAAACACCCTGAGGTCCAATGGCCAATCAATGTTTGTATGGAAGATTATCTTTTTCTTTGTAGACTACCCAATCACTTAAAACCAAAGAGAGGCCTTATCTGTGGAACCATGTGAAGACTGCTCATCTCCCTGCAATGGCCTCTTCCATGAAATTTCTGGCATCTCCAAACACCCAACCTTTACTATCAGAAGGTCAGACACCACTCTGGACTGCTCTGGTTTTCTCCTCCACAGCTACTTCCATTAAACATTCAACATAAAATGACAGCCAAGATAGTATGCTTATGTTGCCAGCTTTAGGACGAATGCCTATGAGCCACACATTTACATGACTGCTGCTCAGCGGAAGAGTAAATATCTCACATCTCCAATTTGTAGCATATGGACTTTGAAGATGAAACCGTATTTAAGCACATCTCAATGGTTTAGCACTTTTCCTTGGGGAAAAAAAAAGAAACCCAACAACCAAGAACATTTTTTTAACCAAGACAAAATCTCAGTGACTGCTTCAGGAACACTCAGACCTATAGCCCCAAACTCCCATTTATGAGCTCCAACAGGCTGCAAAAACTTACAGAAAGCATACAAGGAGCCATTCAGGAACAGCCCACTCATACAGCAGGGACAAAAGTTTCTTATTTCCAACCACTTAACATAAAACGCGCTGTAGCAGCAGAGTGCTCATCCCTTCTTCTGTCTTCATCTGTCCTGTCTGGTGTAACTATTTCAGCTTATGACAAGCAAGACTCATCTGCTGCTGAGCATCTCTGACACATTTAAAGAGGAAGAAGACACACTTAAGTTAGAAGAATGGTACAGAGTAGTGGGCAGTTTGAGGAGATTATTCCAAGCCACTCACATTAGATATGTAAAAGAACTTAACACCTTGAAACCCTCCAAAATGAAAAAGGAATTAAAAAAGCTGGCACCAAATAACCTGAACTCCACATTCTTCTAACACAGGCTTTGTGTGCTTCCAAAAAGAGGCACTACTGGGAGCTGCTTTTCACAGTGGCTTACATTTCTGTGTCAGAAAGCCCAAGCTGTCTGCAAACTGCAATAATTCACCCTGTATTCTATTTATCCTTCTTTCTAACCCTTTGTTTTTAAGGCTTGGTTTTATCCAGCATTCCTTCCAAATTAACAGCACCGGTCTTTACCTTCTTTCAACTTTTATTCCCTTCACTTCACAGATACTATGGCGGCAAGTATCCCACATGGGATTTTGCCACCTGCCTCTTCACTATCTGTTTACTTTCCAGTTCCAGTTGAACTGAACCAGAGCCAGAATTATGCTCCTTTTTCTTAAGAAAGAGTGTATCTCATCACTAGAATTTCACATTCTGTCACCATATTAATATGGATTAGTTTTAATATTCCATTTCCACTTGGTTCTTCAAAGCTTGGATAACCACTTGCGCAACACTGTGCCAAAAGAACCTGCCTTCTACCACTTGGCTTGCAGGTTTTCATCTGGGCCAGCAGCTTGCTGAAGTTCTTCTCAAGTGTAAAGGATACATCATTTGCAATTACTCACCTCCCTTCAGGCACTGCAGCAGCCTTTGAAGAGGGCTTCTTTCCCCAGTGCTCCTTTTTCAACCGTCTCCTCAGCCTCCAATACTCTCTCTGCAGAAAGATTACTCAGAGGAAGGCCGGTGCAACACTCTCCTGACTGGCATTCACTGCCTCCTCCATGTGGCAGTCCAAGTACTGAGGACCAGAAATTAGGTTTTTTAGTCCTTATAAAGCTTACAAGGAACCTCTACCTACACATCACCTTCCCCAGAAGTCAGTCTTTTAGCACCTTTACTTACACAGAAAAGAACTGCCTTGCAACTCATTACTCACTGGCAGCTGAACTTACCCTTGTGCTCACTCACTGGGTAAGAAAAATGGTGTGCACCCAATCCTTACATCCTTACAGTCACCTAGAAAAGGGGATGGAAGCCACCACATTTACTTAACTGACCCCCATGGCTGCCCATCAGTGGATAACTGCATGCTTTTTTCCCACCTTTCCCAATACACCTAAGACTCATGAACTCTGGAGCTTCACTGTTGTGGTGTAAGCCCAGCCAGTAACTCAGAACCACAGGACACTGATCCACACAATCCATATCTCTGTGCAAAATGCCACATGGAAAACAAGGAAAGTGATTTAACTCTCCGGAAAGGATGAAGCAAAAATAATTCTGATGCTGATTAGAAGAGGATTATGGCAACGATCCTTCCCTCCTTTCTCTTCTGTTTCAAAGATAGACTCAAGTGCCACCCAGTAAAGCAGGCAGTGTCGCAGGTGCTGGAACCCATCATGTGCCAGCCAAGCCTGGAAAGGACACATCTTTGCTGGCAAAGGGCAAAGGATAAATTACAGGATACGTACGTATACGGCTCATATATTACAAACACCACAGCCACAGGCAGGACCTTGCCAAAAATGCCACAGAGTTCAAGCTAATGGGAAGAAGAGCATAAAATAAGATTTTCTATGGCATTAAAGATTATGAGCATTCACTCCCTGTAACAGGCACGAGTGCTCTGGGAAGGCATATAGATCTCTATATGGCTGCTGTCCCAGTGACCTTGGCACTGAGCAGAGCGGAGCTGTTCTGCATCCTATAAGATGTCAATCTCATGAAATCAGCACTTTAAAACACTGGCTGCAAGTACTCTGCGTGGCAAAGCGATACCCACATACTCACAAGAAGCCCTACCTTCCAGGGAGCCATCAAAGCCCAGCCAGATCACCCAGAGTTAAAGCGTATCCTGTAAGGCACAGACACTTGTGTGTTGTAACGCCACAGCAAAATAAATGCAGTTAGGGGAACAGCAGGAGTGAAGAGAGGTGGCAAATCCAACAACTACCTAGTCAAACAAACGCTTATGGCCAGTGGAGCTGGGGGGTATCGCACTCAGCAAATGAAGCCCTTTACACTGATCCCTTTTGCCAAGACCTCAGCTATTAAAATGAAGGGCTTTTTAAAAGGTCATACAAGTAGCCTAGGAAAGATGCCTACTGTTGTTTACACAGCTGGACTGGAAACAGCACAGCTTTTGGTCAGTCAGCATATACCACAGCACTAACAGGAAGGAAATCGAGATACTGTATCAATCCAAGCTCAGATTATTACCTGTGTGCTATCTGAATGCAGCACTAGGACCCACTCAACAGCCACCTTCCATTTTACAGCTATTGCACTCCCTACCATGCTTTGTTAGCACTGACATGGTTTTGAGCATGTGTGAATTAACTGCAGCAGAGCTGCCCCGTCTGGTTATTTAAATGCAAAGTTTGCAATGCTAAACCTAGTACCAATATAATACCCCGCTTGGTAGGAGCATAAACATCATAAAAAGGTCAAGCATTTTCATAATGCTTTGCTAATGAGGGTCAGGGCCTGACTGGACTTGTTTTGGCCTCCAGCCTAGCAACAGTTTCTGTATTGGCCAAACTCTGAGGAGTCTGCTATTATTTCTAGATCATTTGCATCTCTCCTGCCTTCCACAGAGACTTATCACAGAAACCACCAGTCAAACAGCTGCTGTGTTAGCACACTAGCATGTCTGCTTCAGAAGACAATCATTTGATGCTATGGAAAACCTGCACTTAACTATAAACAAGTACTTAAGGAGTAGATAGACAGC